CTACCTCGACTAAACGTCAACATGACATAACCCCAAATGTCGGACTCTCTTTAATGAGGGGGCTCCCCCCTAACATTAGGGCTTTCCGAAAAATAGAAATTAGGGATCCTCAATGCGGCCCCCTGAGCTCACACGGTTGTGAGGTCCCTGTGGATCGATTTAAAAAGGGATTGCTGAGAATCTTTCCTATATTTTTGGGCCCCAAATTAAAACACATTATAGGGGGCCGTGCAATCGTTGCCCTGATCCTGAATAGGCAGACCCCAAAACTCATTACAGGGGACCTTTTGAACAAAGGAGGTCCAACATTAATATATTATAATTTATGATATCTATAATGTACCCCCCATATAACCCATCATAGTCGTTTCCATTTTCTTTTCCATTATCCATATATAGTTCCTACATTACACCCACATTCATCTATACAGCTTCTATGCAACATTGGTAATTATTCAGGCCCCTACGTTACAGCTTGCTTCATAAGAAACCAGACCGATCAGGCCGGTGCTCACCAGAAGGGTTTAGGGTTTAGTCTTTTAGGGTTAAGGGTTTAGGGTTTATGCTTTAGGGTTAAGGGTTTAGGGTTTAGGGTTCAGGGCTTACAGGGGCCCAAATGAGCTGTAAGTCTAAACGCCTTAGCGGGGGGTTATATAGGGTTTAGGGTTTAGGGCTGAGGGTCTAAACTCCTTAAATGAGGTTATGTAGGGGATGATACAGCGGAATATTACAGGTGTTAATAAGGGGGGGAAACTAGGAGTCTAGACTATAGCTCAAATGAGGGTACCCTAAGGAGCCTATATCATGATGTCCCAAGGAGCAATCAGTGGAAAGTCTGGTAGTCAATCCTGGCAGGACACTATCACTATGAGGTCTGCTGATTTTCAGCCCCCATTTGATAGATGTTTGTTTTTATTACGGCGCCTCATGTTGTGAGGTTGACCTCTCAATTCCCTCAAGGTATTGAGCAGACTAGCAATGAAGACCAGTCTCAGAGAACTGGACATCTGTAACTTTCATGCCGCTGTCTGTACATGGACTAAAGAAGAGAAAACAAACATATGAGAATCCTCTACAGCCATACCACGCACTGTGTTAGCACCAGCAACGGACTTCAACCTTTTCAGAAAGTACCTTGACAAACCTTGTTCCTGACATCTCCCCAAACCCTATATATACCCTATAGTAGTAGTTTGCATGTTCATTTCCATTACCCCCCATATAACCCCGAATATTACCCCAATATATACCATAGTATAATACATACCTCAGGGATTCCCAAGATGACTCCTCAACTGGGATCCAAACCCTAGACCCTAAACCC